GCGGGGGGGTGGGGGGGGGGGGAGAGTGAGGGGCTGCAGCAGGACCAGGAGGGGTGTGGGGGGCCTTTAATTTTAATCACAGATTTGGGAGCTTTTATTAGAAAATTTGTGATTTTTTATTGGAGAATTTGAGACTTTATCAGGGAAAACCAGGATCCCTGGTTGATTAAAAGCTTAACTGGAGGTTTAAAAGAAACATTTAAAAATTACAGATCTCTTTTTAAATTAGAATTTCAAACTAATGAAATGTAGCAAATAGAAATTAAACAAGTAGTTTGGGAGAAAGTATACAAATACGTGATATGTCTGCAAAATATGTAATGATGAAAAGTACACAATAAACCAAAGAACTATGTGATGAATAACATTTGTTACATATCTGTGATCGCCTCTCATGTATTCTAACTTCTGCTGGCCACAGAAGTGTTAGCAGTCAATATCTGTACCAATTACTGCAAGGCACCTTACATCGTTTTGTTGTTTAGTCACTGCTAGAGCAATAATATGTTGGATTCTGTCAAGCCACTGAAAGGTCACAACCACAGTATTGACCATTTTTAGAACCGAGAATTGGGAGTATTTATCAACTCCTTATGAAGTAACAATGGTCATGTACAAGCATTCATTTCTAGCGGCAGAAACTTTTCACCATGAGAAATGATTCCAGGAGAGGGAATGGTACAAGCATTCAGCCTGCAAGTGGCCCCTTCTCCCCTGCAATCTACATTTGGGGAAAGCATAGGCTTCTCTAACCCTCCTCATCTCAGTGTAAGAAGCAGGAAGCAGGCTTGTGGCACCATTCCTTCTGCTCAGCTTCCAATACCTAGAAGCCAAGTGGACGGGGCAGCAGGGCAAAGCCTCCTGCCCACTACTCATACCAAGGATTCCGGGTGACTGAGAAACCAGAGAGGAGCAGCTGACACCTCCATGATTTCTCCAGATAGAGAAAAACTCCCTTGGAAGCAGTATACCCAGGAGTGATTTCTATCTAACTGAAGTCAGGTTATTTTTCTCCTGGAACTACGAATTTTGCTCTGGGAGAAAAAGCTGGAACATCTGTACACTTGTGGTCTCTACCAGAACAGCAATTCTTTTGGTAGAAACATAGCACTGTATGTGGTCAATGTGTACTGGTTTCTCAGGCTCTTTCAGAAAGATATTTAATACTTATTGTTTGCACCTAGATGACTTGCCTGTAGTGATACGAAACACTTGTTTATCTTGGAGAAACTAAATGTATGCTAAAAACTGGACAACAATTTAGTTTAAATGAAAAAACTTGGTTTTCTTTACTGTAATATGATTACTGTGAGCTACTGATATTAGATGAGATAGCATTAAGTTAATAAAACAAGGTTTTCTTCTGGCAAAACTTCCCTTTTTGAAAGGTTTAAAAGTAAAGGAAAACAATGATGCTGAGGTTTAACACATGAAAATAGTATTCTAAATTAATGTATAATTGTCCTCATAGCATATTAAGTACAACTGAAGCTATTAAAACACAATATTTATTAGAAGTAACAATATAGACACATTGAATATACCTCAGTTTTCTCTTATGCTAAATCCAGAAGGTAATTGCAATTTGTCAGAACCACAGAAATTGTGTAGTAACCAGAGTTAATTTCTGACAGTTTAATAGTGATTGCTGCACTGCTCTGTTTTTCTGAGAGATCCAGTACCATGATGAATTTATCATTTTGAGGCAAGTCTTTATACAATAAGCAATCATTTTAAAAGTAGAATCTTTATCAATGTATACCAAATACCCTGTTACCTGTTTGCCTGGCTGAAAGTGTGTCATCTTTTTCTTGAAAATATTTGCATCTTGAAAAAGTCGAATTGCAGAAAAAGCCAAAGCAGCACTATGATAGGGAACATAATAAAAATCAAGAATTGTATTAGCTACTTTATATTTTCATGTAATCATTTAATAATGCCTGTTCTATTTCTGACTGAAAATAAGATGAATGATGATCCAGATTTTGCTTAATACCAAAAATTGCACAAAGAGCTAATGTTAAATGTACAGGAGATGCAATATAAATGGGAGTGAATACTGCAGAGTCTATCTTAAGACTGACATATCCTGATAAAACTGCATAACTCAGCAAGCAAAGTCAACAGCTCAAGTAACCAAACTCCCAATTTCAGGTCCCCCACTATTTGTTCTGTTTCAGTATTATCAATCAGGGCTGGCCCACAATTTTTTGGGGCCCCCTGACACGAAGAAGGCATTGGAGGCGGTGGGGGGAGCGAGTGCAGAGGTGGATTAAGGTGTACTGGGGCCCTGGGCAAGCACAAAATTGGAGGCCCCTTCCCCCCCATGGGAGCTGGGCTTCAGGAGCTGGCCCCCTTCCCCTCCTAGTGCTGGCAAGAGAGGCTGGGTGGACCCTGCCAGGCTGGGGGGCACATACCCGCCACTTCTCCCCACTCCCCATCCCTGCTACGGCCAAAGGTACACATACACATGGCAGACAAGGTTCTTTGGGTAAATCTGATATCTTTTATTACACCAAGTAGATGGAAACATTTTTCTAGCATGCTTTTGGGTTTAAAAGACCTTGGTCAGGCTGAGAAAGATCTGCAGTTGGTGTGTGCTCTTCCTGGATGGAACAAATAGTAAAGAAGCCAGAGGCTGGACTTCATGCAACCCAGTCAGTGAAAATGTAAACTGAGGAGTCTGGGTGAGAGTCAGTGGGTTTCATGGAATCAATCCTTAAACCACTTGTTACCGAAAGAGAGAGTTTTGTCCAAGGCACTACATACTCTCTACGAAAGCTTAAAAACACAGACGACCTTCCCACCAACACTCTCCTAGCCACCATGGATGTTACTAACTTATATACCAACATCCCACACCAGGGTGGCATCCAAGCCTTCCTTACATACCTACAAGAGCAAAATGACAACTCTGAGTATAGATCCAAAGATATTACCGAAATTATATGCTTCATCCTCTCACACAACAATTTCACTTTTAATAACCAACACTTCCTCCAGATCATAGGCACAGCTATGGGCACCAAAATGGCCCCTCAGTATGCCAACCTTTTTATGAGCCACCTGGAAGAAGAATTCCTCAAAGACTGCACCATCAAACCCTTGCTATACTTAAGCTATATCAATGACATCATCATCATTTGGACTGAAAACCTGCAATCTCTGATTGAGTTCCATCAGAAATTCAGCAATTATCACCCCTCCATCTGACTATCTCATGAGTACTCCAGCACCAACATCTCCTTTTTAGACACAATGATCAGCATCCAGAATGGTAAAATACAGACCACGTTATACAAGAAACGCGCAGACCAACATACGTATCTGCACAGAACCAACAATCACCCTAAACACACCAAGAAACCTGATACACAGCCAAGCCCTCAGATCCCACCAATTTTGAACTGAGGAGAACACCCAGGATTGCTACCTCACAAATCTTAAAAAGGCTTTCACACAACAAGGACACTCCTCCAGAGATAGACGCACATTTGAAAGAGCCACCTGAATACCACGTGAAGAATTGCTGCAGTGCAGAAGGAAAACCCTCACGAATCGCACACGGCTGGTTATGACATATCACCCCTCCCTCAGACCTATATGGAAAATCCTCAAACTATTGCAACCCATACTAGAAAAGACCCAATTCTTGAAGAAATCTTCCCAGATCCACCCATCCTAGCCTTCAAACAAGCACCGAACCTCACTAACCTCATCACCAGAAGCAAACTTCTTATGGCCCACAACACACCGAATGGATCCAGGCCATACCATGAAAAGAAATGCAAAACCTGCCAACATATCTCCACCAGTCCCACAATTACCACACCCCACAACAGAACCATCACCATTCCTGGATCTTACAGCTGTACCTCCAGAAATGTTATATATCTCATCCAGTGCACCAAATGCCCTGATGGAAAATACGTAGGAGAGACCAAACAACTGCACACCAGAATGAACGCACACTGGAAATCTATTAAAAACCAGAATACACAATTACTGGTGGGGGCACATTTCTCACAAGAAAACCACTCTCTCTCCAATCTCTCAGTATTAATTCTCTAAGGGAATTCACAAAACACTTTTCACAGACGAGCCTATGAACTTCACTTCTTCAACCTCCTGGATACAAAAAAATCATGAACTAAACATAGAAGAAATACAAAAACAGAGAACTCTTGGTTCCAAAATTATACCTTTTATTAAACCAACTGGGAAATCACGAGAAAATTGTCCTTTTTTGCAAGCTTTTGGTCCCAAAGACCCTTCATCAGGCTCTGAGAAAAGTACAGATGGTAAAAAGTCCCCATAGGTAGGAAATTTCATTTTTGCACAGAGAGAGCTGGAGATGGAAAGCTGTCCCCCTGGGTCCAGCTTTTACTTGTGATTTCCCAGTTGGTCTAATAAAAAGTATCATTTTGGAACCAAGAGTTCTACATTTTTATATTTCTTCTCATCTCAGACCAACACAGCTACCAAGTACATCCTTGAAACATGGAAGATACTGAATTTTAGCTGATTTTGGATTTTAAACTTCATTTCAGAACAACAAGAAAGATTTTTACCTCCCCACCTGCCATCTGACACCTCCCCGAAAGAAATTTTACCTAATCTAGCATACCAAAGAGCAACTCAGCACAACTCTCAAAGATATAGCTACTACTGATCCACTTGTGGGTCTGCTGCTGAGCATACCAGGGACCCCCCTCCCCCCCCACACGTTCCTGTGGGACACTCCATCTTCCCCAGCATCTCAGCATTCACAAGCTGTCTGGTACATTGAGGTAGATAGAAAAAACATTTAAAGCTGTGTGTATGTCCGAGCTGTCAAATTGTTCCAAATGAATCAGTTTCCAGATTCGATTTGGAGATTCAGCCACCGAATCAGGCCAAATCGAATCAGGGACCAAAGCTTCGCACAGCCCTACTACTTACCCGTGCCTTCAATCCCCATTGTTATCCCTATCCATTCCTTTCAAACTATTCTTCTCCCAAAAACCTTCTTATTTGTTCTTGTTAGTCTGTCTTGATTATTTTCCCCCACAAAAAGAAATCTCTGTTTTCCCTGACAGCATGCCATCACTGTGCAGGAAAGCACAACATATATTACACACACACATGCACCTTTTGCAGCACACCAAACATTATGAAGTGTGTTGGAAATGCAGGTGTCATGTCTTCTGGGAGGGGAAGGAAACAGGGCAGAGGGAGAGCTGCAAGTTCCCCCCGCCTCAAACATAGATGCGCCCTCTTTCTTGGCAGCGAAGAGTTTTCTGTTGCTAGTGGGAGCAAGGAGGTGGTAGCAGTGCCTGCACCTGCACCACCACCACTAACACCACTAACCAGCAGCAGCATGACATTCTCCACCCCAATTTCAGTTCCCAGCATGAGCCTTCCAGTGCCAGAGGAGGAGCTGGATCTGGAAGCAGAGGAGCTGAGGGCCATAGCAAAGGAAATTCTGGGGAAAAAGGGGGAATCTGAGTTTGTGCTCCACACCCCTCAAAGTTCCTCTAGAGGCAGGTCTGATTCTCTGAAAGGCACTTTGGAGGAGGTTGTGGGGGCAGGTGGCTCAGCTCCTCCTGTTGTTATGCCTCTGCCTGGTGAGGAGCAGGATAAGGCAGGATCCCCACCCTCAACCCAGAAGCAGGTGGGTAGCGTAGTGTGGGATCATTTTGAGGTGGCAGATGATCCCAGGTATACTACCTGCCAGCACTGCTGAAGGCAGATCAGCTGGGGCAAGGACGTAAAACACTTGGCCACCACGGCAATGCTGCTGCATCTCAGGAGGCAGCACCCCCTTGCCCTTCTTCCTCCTCAGCCTGGCACCAGTGGGAGTGTGCCCAAAGGGAAGTCCCCTGCTTTCTCAAAGCCCCCATCCCTCCAAAGCAGAGGCAGGCCACCCTGGAGCGGTGGGGGAAAGCCCCAGATAAAGGGGGGGCATGTTGCAAGGGCAACCGAGGTCACCCAGAGCATTGGAGAGATGCTCGCTCTGGATGGCCAGCCCTTCTCCTTCGTTGATCGTCCAGGGTTC